GCTATGGATTGTATGGCACCCAAGTCAGTAATAAACAATGCAATCCGCCTGTCATTACATGAACTGCCCAAGAGTGATCATGAAGGGTATATGCAGGCCATAAAGACGTTCTTTGAGAGTGAGTTCCCAAATGCTCAGCTTTGCTTTCACTACGCTATCAAGAAGAACTACTTGGATGTAGGGTTTCCTGATACAGAGTCTAGAGACAAGGCAGAAAAGAAGGGTATTAGCTACAAAGGCGGACACATCCAAATGGAGCAGACTTCTTTCATCAACAAGTGTACCAAGTGGATATCTTTCACTAACGTACCAACTGAGTGTGAAGATAGCGTTTGGGTTCAAGACGCTATCAAAACCGGTCTTTGCTATTACAGGGACATAGTGGCATGGCACACTGAATGTGCAGATATACTGCCATCTAACTTTGTGCCTACTACAATCCATGCTCTTCTGGACCCCTCTCTCACGGTTCAGGAAAAGAAGATTTCCATTCCATGCTTCATCCGTATTCCTGGGAATCCCAAAGTAATTGCAGTTGAAGTGGAAGGAGAGAGACAAGTATGCCGGTTCTGTTACAGATTAGGCCATACACTCAGCCACTGTCATCACAGAAAAAACGCTTACTACCGGGACATTATCTATGAGCCAGATGATGGTGTAACTAGAATCAAGAATTGTACATTTCTTTGCCCAAACCCGGTGGCGTGGATACCCTCTAGTTTTTCTCATCCCCATGAACTTCTGGCCACCTAGAGCTGCACTGGCTCAGAGACACTCTAAAGCTTGGGCTGTGATGGCGTCAAGATTTGACAATGAGGTCACAGTGCCCTTCTGTGATCCCACAGCCCTGTCTGAGGTTGAGCTCCCCCAGCAGGACTCCCCTACCTGGAAGCCACATGATGAGTGGAAGAAGGCAGCGGAAGCTAAGTGGAACCAGAAACCCAAGAAGAGCAAGACTGCTAGACCCAACCCTCCTAGTGAACCCAAGCCCACTGTAAACTCTAAGCTGACTAGCAAGCCCACTGTGAACCCTAAACCAACCAGCAAGCCCACCAAGAAAACCCCTTGTGCTGTTCCCATGGATGTAGATGACATGGAACAGGACTTTAGTCCTGCGGAAATGGCTGAAGCTCAGGCCTCAGCTAAAAAGGCTCCAGGACCCTTCCTCACTAAGAGAAAGTGGAACCCAGAGTCCTCCACCATGGCTGATCCATCCCCTAACCTCCCCAACCAACAAAACCCCCCCCGCTGATGCAGCGCCTCATACCTGTGGGTCGGGCAACCAGTTATGAGGATTGCAACTATCAACGTGAGGGGGATTGCAATGTTGAAATTGAGGTGGGAGAAACTACACTATATAAAAACAAATAATAATATTGACCTGGTGATCATGACAGAGATCCAGGCTCAACAACTTGCAACCAAACCAGACTTCTCACCAGACCCGGCAGCACACGCGTGGTCAAGAGAGAGTAAACTGAACGGACTCTGGACGGATCACATAGCAATTGTGGCCCTGAGAGACAACATTGCCATCAGCTTTGTGGCTATGCACCTAGATGGCCAAATTCTAGTGGCAAAAGTCAGAGATGTTAGGAATGATAAGACACTCACAGTTGTTGGTGTATACCTGGAACCTGGTGGAACCCAGGGAAGTAGGGAAGGATGGCAGATCCTGTTGTCACTTGACCTCCCTGACCGTACTCTTTACAGTGGGGACTTCAACACATACACCAATAACCAAAGAGATACTTACCCATGTTGTCAGCAACGTCATCCCTCTGCGCATCTGATGGAGGGGTTTCTGGAAGCGCAAGGAGTAGTTGAGACTATTGCCAGCAAGGACCTGGACCTCACCCAGCTGACAAGGTGGGGTTATGTGGACGGGTTTCCAGTGTCAGGCGCCAGACTGGACCATATCTTAATCTCTGGAGATATCTCAGAGGAATTTACTGGATCCCAGGTTCAGGTAGCTCATATCTCGGACCACTATATTGTGTATATTGATTGGGACTCTGGTGTCACCCAATGTGCTACGCAACGGTGGGTCATACAGCTGTCCACTTTTTGTAACCACAAGTGAAAGGAGATGATTGAGAGAGCCATCCTGGAAATGATGGGCCCAGTGCAATCACCCAGTGACACATGGTTTGGCATCAAAAGGAAAATTTTCTCATCCACCATCTCCTTTCAGAGGAGGCAGAGGAACAATGAGCTCACAACACTGCATGCTTTGGAGAAAGAATATAAGGAAGTGGCCAAGAAGGATATTCTGAAGTTCAACATTCTCCATTGTCAGATCAAAAAGCTGCAGATGACCATTGAGAAGCGCCGTTGGACCAATGCGACATACAAATTCCAATGTAGCTTTGGTACATCTACAAAGGACGGACTATGTAGCCTTGCTCAACGTCAGAGAGGATCTCCTTTCACTGAGATTGATACAGGGTGTGGTCTGAAATCTAAAGACAAGTCTGTGATTAAGCAGAAGATACAGGAGTTCTACTCGGGTCTGTATGCTCATGCAGATGTGGATAAGGATGCCCTCTCTTCACTAATGACAGAGGCTGGTCCAGAGCTCACACAATGTCCCCCGGCAATGTGTGGACCTTTGACAGCAAACATCACACTGGAGGAGACTCTTGCAGCCATTAAAGAGTCCCCAAATGGCAAAACACCAGGCCCAGACTGTATTCCAGCAGATGTGTATAAGCCTATTAGAAATCTGATAGCACCCCATCTGACTAGACTCTTCAACTATGTCCTTTCCTCAGCCACCCAATTTCCTGAGGGAAATGAGGTGTCAATTTGCCTCCTCTTCAAGAACAAGGGTCATAGGAGCAATGTTAAGAACTGGAGACCAATTTTTTTGTCTAATGTGGACTACAAACTGCTGACCCAGATTCTGTCTAACAGAATCATGAAGATTGCAGATGTGATCCTACACCCAATGCAGTTTGGCTTTGTTTGGGGCTGTTCCATCTGGGATAATATTCACATGGTTCAAAATACCCTCCAGAATAGGGTTAAATCAAATAAGGGCTACCTGCTATTTATGGACATGGAGAAGGCGCATGATTGTGTGTTGTGGTCATATCTCTATGCTAGTATGTGGGCTGTAAACCTGCCGGAGGAATGGATCTGTTGGATAAAGACACTGTACCTGAACCTTCAGGCGTGCGTTATTGTCAATGGTGACCTGACTGAGAACATTGAAATTTGTCAGGGATTGAGACAAGGGGATCCTCTGTCTCCCATCCTGTTCAATTTTGCAGCAAATTTGTTCTTGGCAGCTGGAAACGCTAGGCTGAGAGGCTTCACTCATCCTAGTCAGAACGCGCTCTGTATGGCTGCCTTTGCAGATGACACCATTGTGGGCCTGACCACAAAGGAGGACTCAAAAAAGCTGACAACCCTTCTGGAGCTCTACCAGAGGGCATCCAACGCAAAGGTTAACATTGAGAAGACAACACTGGTTAAAATAGGTGTGCCAAACTTTGCACCACCGCATGGCCTCACGCCTATCCCAGCCTGTGAAGCCTTTAGACACTTGGGAGTATGGTTCAACTCTATGGATATTGATCTGCAGACCAATGAACAGATTCTTCTCAAGGCTATTGCAAACAAGATCAATGGGTGGCGTCATTTCCGGTTCAATGTAATTGGACGGGTTACTGCCCTCAACATCTTTGTGTTCTCCAAGATGTGGTATGTAGCACACATTGTACCCTTCTCCAAAGCCTTTGAGAAGAAGGTGTCAGCCATGACCCGCAACTTCTTGTGGGGTACTCCCAATACGTCCCCCGTAAAAATGTCAGTGGTCTCTCTCCCCAGGTCAGCAGGAGGACTGGGTCTGATAGATCATATCCAGCATTGCAGAAGGATGTGAGAAAAAGGACTAAGGGAACTACTAGCAGCCCATACTGACTCACCAGCAGCAGGCAGAGCAGTTAACTGGGCGCGGGCTGTCCAGATACCCAACCCTTTGACATTTGGTCTAAGACAATGGTTCTTGAAGAGAAAGAGATTCACACACCCCAAAGACACTCTGGAGTACTGGCGCCGCTGCTTGGCAGTAATGAAAGCCAATGAATGGGAAATCTCTAAGAATCTTGATCCTGCTGGTCCACATAATTGGGACCTCAAGGGCTTGCATCTGGCAGACAGAAACAGACAGATCAATTACAATCTGGATATGAAGAGCATTGTCACACACCGGAAGACTGTGGTGTCCAAGTGTGGGAAGAAGGTCGTCCAAGACCCAAAGCCTAAGCCAGAATACCCCAAGATGGTTTGCAAGTGGGTAGAAGCCGGCAGATTGGTCACAATCACCCCCAAAGAAATGGCTACTCTGAAGCGGGTACCAATGGTGACAACGGGTGCACAGACTCTGACCTGGAGACTGTTCAACGAGGCCTTCTGGAGTGAGTCAACATTCCCAGTGGACCACCCAATTTGCCAGTGTGGGCTTTGCCCATTCAAAGATGCTAATCTGGAGCACAAATTCTTTGGTTGTATAGTTGTGCCGCGGTTCTGGACAGAAGTTGCCCAAATGCTGAACCTCTCTGTCCATTTTCAACCAAAGTATGACATCTTCTTCATGAGGAGTCTCAAGCGGGAACCCCCAGTAGTTTGAGCAGTTCCTTATCATCTTGCACTGTGGACCATCCACACTACCTTTATAGATGTAATCTTTGAAAATGGACCTAACCTGGTGTCACTCATGAAGGAGAAATTCCGCTCCCTAATGGACAATACTATGATCCGTACAGACAAATTTGGCCACACAATTTCTGATAACAGGAAACTTATGGACACCATTGTTGACTCATCCCACCTCATAGTTGATAGAGTCATACAATGGAAAGACAGGCACACAGAGGACCTGTAGAAAGCTACACCTTCCTCTGGTATCTTTCACTTTCCTCCCCCCCCACGGCCGCGTTCTCTTTTAAACGCTGTCTTTAAAGCCTAATAAATTTGTGTTCCCTCAAATAAAAGCCTGTGTGGCCAAGTGGTAAGGCGTCTGTCTTGTAAACAGAAGAGCAGTGGTTCGATTCCGCTCTCGGGCAAATTTTTTGACATTTGTCAATGTATAAGTTATTATTTTTTAAACTTAGAGTGATTTTGGGTTTTTTATGACAGGTATACTTTTAATGCTTAAAATTGGTGTGTGGACTAACTGAAAAAATTATCGTCTCAAAATTTATAAAGTTACTTAATTAAGTATGATTTCACCCAAAAGCTTTTCTTTTTTTAAAAAAAGCCTATAGTGCTTTACTGTATTCATTTTTTTAGAAAAACCAAAATATGGGTTGAATTTTTTAAAAATACCAAGTTTTTTCCTGTTTATATCTTATCTGTCTATCCTTGTTAAAATCAACCCTTTTATTAGGTTTATTATGTAATAGTCTTTAGTAATGCTTTTTTAATGAAAAGGCCTCATGTCAATCTGTAATACTCAAGAAGATGATGGATTATTTTAAACAGATGTGGCAAAGATTTTCATGTTGAAATACAGTCAAGGCTGTGACTATTGAATACACAGTTATTAGTCAGTGGAAGAAATTGGTTTGAATTTTAAATCAACTGAAGTTCCTGGCAAAGTATGTCAAGAGATAGTACATGGCTAAAGAGGTGGGGGAGCAAGCAGTCACTAGGTTTATCCAGAAAGTGGCTTATGAAGAATTTATTTGTGATGATTCTTCATATTACCAGTTTTTGATATCCTCTGAATGGGCTTCTACAAAGGCAGTAGTTGATTGTTGGGCCCCATTCACTAGGCAGGCTGTGAGCATAGTAGAAAAGATGAATTGGTTAATTTTTTCCTGGGGCAGGATAATCAGAGATTGATAGTGCAGTTTCTAACTAGTACTTTTAACTGAAAAGTATAAACATGTTTTATGTGATATGAAACAGAAGTGGATTGTCTTAATGATAGCAAAACTTAATACTGAGAGATCAAGCTTATTATATAGTGTTTTTGCTGCAAGGCAGAAACAATTGGAAACATAGGATGGTGTGCCCTAATAAATGAGGGTTTTGAAGTTCCCTATTTGTAAAATTCCCATATTTGGATCTTGGAAATGCATATTTTGCGTTTTGGAATCTTTTCTTGGATAATTTTTATTGCTGGCAACATAACTTAGACTAGCTTGGGACCATCTGACAGACAGAAGTGCACACACTGGCAGCTAGTGGGTGGGTAGGCAGCAGGGCAACATTGGCAAAATAACTGTAGGAATACAAAAGTGAGAATTCAAAAATGAGAATCTAAAAGTGGCCAAGTCAAATTTTTTAAAATTTTAAAATTAAATTAAAACAACTCATTTGGAATTAAAAATTATTATGGCCATATAAAATACTTTTTAATCATTCTCTTAACTAAAAAAGTCAAGAAAAAGTAGTTACTTTATTATAAAAAGCCATTTTAAAAATTTAAAAAGGGTCAACTTGGCCACTTTTAGATTCTCACTTTTGAATTCTCACTTTTGCATTCCTACAGTTATTTTGCTACTGTTGCTGATGGCAGGACCCTGCAGTGACAAAGTTTGGATTTCAAAATCTGCTTTTAATCCAAAGCTCAAATTTGATTTTTTGCAATAGTTTCCCCAATAAGGGAAAACTGCTGCTTTTCAGGGATCCAACCTTGGGCAGCCGGCCTATCAGGATTCACCCTTTTTCTTATAGCTGCTACTCTGTTTCTATACTTATTTGTCTTCATTGGCTTTTAAGTCTTCTCATTATTATTCTTATTATTTTATTCATGCTCCCATCTTTCCCCCTCCATTTTCCACCTTTGGGGTCAAAATTAGGCTTTTTTAAAGTCTAGTTACAACCTAAATGTTAGTTTACTATTATTTTCAAACTTTCCTCACCTTCTGCTACCGGATCCAAACCCTGGACCTACACACAGAAGTTAAAGAGTTGGCTCCAAACAACTTACCTTTCACTATACACTCAATTACGTCTTCTCAAGCTTTGGACTTAGTTTTTCCTTTGTTTTTTGCTCGCTTTTATATTCCAAATCATCACTGTAACCTCTTTCTCTCCTCCCGGTCTTCTTTACAATAGTTTAACTTATCTAAGTTAAATTTACAAATTGATGATATCAACCTTCATTTTTCAGAAAAGTCTCCTAACCAAAAATGGTTGAACTTTTCCCACCTCAATTCTGCATTTTAAAAGCAAAGCACAATAAAAGGCTTGACTTGTCCAGTCTCAACAATAAGTTGAGATTGTTTGACTTGCACCCCAAAAAGATACTTGTTAGGTTTTGTGGCTTGTGTTTTTCTCTTCCAATTCTTTTAATCTTAGTTATATCTTAGTTCATGATTCCTTTTGACTTTATCCTTTTCCAGTTAGACAGCTTTTATGGTAGCATTCACAATTTAATTGTTGACAGTTTCAATCCTCCTGCTAGTGCAGACTATTTTCCAGACTTATAAATTGACTTTTTAACTAAATCATCAGTTATTAAGACTGGTCTCTATTTTAAATTCTTAGGGTTAATAAATTGTCTTAATCCTTATTTTACTTCATATAAGCTATTAAGAGCCTTAGTTTAGTTACTATTGCAAACTTTGTCCACCTTTCTATATTTGACAAATATAAACATTCTTGGGTTAAAGGCTCTAGTCTACAACAATTTGCCCCAAGCCTTCAGACCTTACACAGCCCGTCATTTTCAAGGAACACTGTAAGGTCTGAATGCTTGGGGTAAATTATTGTAAGCTAAGGCCTTTAAACCAAGAATATTTATATTTGTTAAGTATAAAAAGGTAGGCAAGGTTTGCAACAATAACTGAACTAGGGCTCCTAAAAGCTTATATGAAGTGAAGTAGGGACCAAGGCAATTTATTAAACCTAAGAAAACAAAGTAAATACCAGTCTTAATGACTGAATATTTGATTAAAAAGTCAATCTCTAAGTCTGGGAAATAGTCTGCACTAGCAGGGGGATTAAAGCTATCAACAATTAAATTGTGAATGATACCATAAAAGCTGCCTAACTGGCAAAGGATAGAGTCAAAAGGAATCATGGACTAAGATAAAGAGGAAGTGAATTGCAAGAGATAAAAATTACTAAGAAATAATAAGCCACAAAACCTAACAAGTACCTGTTGGGGTGCTAGTCAAACAATCTCAACTTAAGTTGAGACTGGACAGAACACAAGCTTTTTATTCAGCTTGAGTTTTGAGGTAAACTTAAAGGAGAGGTAAACTAACCAAAATTGGTTAGGTAGCTTAAATTGAATAAAAGCCAGAGCACATGTTTGTTTGGGAAGTTTAGACTTAAAAAGTTAGGCTCATTGGTAAAGGAGGAGAAGGAAGTTGGTGTTTGCAATCATTAATGGACCAGAAGTACAGAGGAAGACCAGAGAGCGGGAAAAACAGGTTCCAAAGTTGCTTGCGTAAGCAAAAGCAAAAATCAAAGATAAGGTTTTTGGACTTGAATAAAACTAACTTAAACATTAGGTACCGGGTTCAAGAACTGTCCAAGAGCAAAGGTAAGCTTTGAAAGTGAATCTAACTGTTGATATAGATTAAATTGACCAGTAAAAGCAAGGGAATGAAAAGGGGAAGATATTGAAAGAGTGAATTGTTGTGATTTGACCAAGGATTAATATAAAATAATGGTGATGTTCTTGAAAGATACTAGCAGCAATAAATAGTAAAGAAGGATAATCCTGACAAACACACAGGCCACAGGTTTAGCAGGCAAGGCCCAAACAAGATCATGGCTAACATTATAAGGTAGAACATGAACTTCCCCACCCAGGACCATGGGCAAGCGGTTGGGATTGTTGTGTTAATCACCCCTGTGGGTAATGTACACAATCCAAAGAAACTTGCTTGTGTGGTCAGTTGGAAGGTTGGGTAAGGAGGTGTGCATTGGCTTGAGAGTCATGGGCAGTTTCATATCAATTTTGTAGACAGGCAAGAAGTTGAACTTGTCTCTAAACAGTTTGGGCTCAGATAGGAACCAGGAACCTTGTCAGTTGTATTTAACTGCAGATTTTATGTGGGTCAAGGGATACAGTCCAAGGACCTTTTCCAGGGTGTATTCTTTATACTCAGGCTTTAATGGATACTCAGTAAAATGAACGGGGCCAAAGGGAACACCTGGTGGACAGGAATCTGCAGGAGGAAGGGCAGGAGGGCTGGATAGTCTTGTGCTGAATTGATAGATGGCAAAAATAAAACAAGGTAATAGCTGTGGAAGCCAATATGACATAGCCTTTATTCAAAAATAACAATGAAGTCTGAGTGCAGAATCTATGAGTCTACATAGTCTCCTGCCGCCAAAATTTACATTTTCTATGGGGGCTCATCATAGAGTTGGGAAATGTGAGGTCAGGGGGTCAGAACGCCTGGGTTTGGAAGTGGAAAAATGGCTCTGCTGTTGGGTGCTTGCTTATAGGTCAAAGCTTCAGAATAGGTCACTCAATTTTTCTGTTCTTGAGATATGGTCATGAAAGCAAGCTTCTGGCCTGCGTTTCCTTCTGGTGATGACTCTTGATTGGCCACTAGCATAGACTTCAAACTCAGGAAGCAAATGATAGGAATTTCTTTGCCTCCAATAGGCGATGTAATTGATCTTTTGGTTTGTGATTCTATTTCCAAGGGTTGGCTGGCATTACTATCTAGTGTGTCATGCTTGATCTCAGATTGAGGGGACTTGGTCCCAGGAAAACGCAGGTAGCAGGCCAGTTGGTCCTTAGGGCTGGCGGCCTGCAGGGATTCAAGGTCAGGGTTTGAATCCCGGCTTCAGCCCCAGGTTTCAAGGGGAAGAAAATTGTCAATTCTGACACTGCTCATATTTTGTAGTTTCATATTTTCCCAAAGTTTATACTATTATGTTTTGTTCAATTTCAGGAATATTCCTGAAAAATATACTTATCACATGTTGTGAATGCAGTTATTTGATATATATATTATATTTAATATAATATTTTTCAAAGCTATGATGCTAAGAAAAAATACTTCATATTTAAACAAATATAACTCAGATGTAAATGAAAATAGCTAATCTGTAAAAGAAATTAGAACCCAATAAATTTATATTAAAT